GAGCAAGTAACATTGGTAGTTCATCATATTCAGAAATTGGGGTTTTTTTAGTATTACATTTGAATCTATGGTGAAGATACACATATACTTTTGAAAACACATGGCTGGAATGGGCTGTCACTGTAGCACTGGTTTGTGCTACAAAGCATCAGAGCATTCATCAAATATTGGTCATTCATCGTAGCACAAGCTTTCTTGCATTTTTGGCACTAGGCTGTAAGGAAAATACTTAAGACTCAAACATCAGATATTATTACAGATAGCGTATCTCCAGTCAGGTCGTTGTGCTTCTGTATGTCAGTAGAAATTTGGCCTGAGAATCTCTAATACATAATCAGTATGAGGAAATTATTAAAATAATCTTTTATATTTAAACTATATTACATTATGTTTTAAAATACCACACTAAATGATTGAAAAGTTCAGAAAGAGCACTGGTTTTTAATGATATTTTTTAAATACTTGTATAAAGTTGATTTCTATGTCATCAACCAAAGAAAGTGATATTCGTAGTCCAGATTGATCTGTTATGCTGCATTGCTCTGGTTCACTAAGTCATCTTGTCTGTTAGTATCTGCAGATAAAAATGGATTATATTCTTTGGAGTGGTCCATAAAATTAATGATGAACAAAGATTAATTTTGATTCAGTTTAAGATTTGCTCTGTCTGGATGCAGGGGGTAATGCTCTTATATCTGTGATTTTTGATCTAATGTAGCTATAAGCTCCTGCTGCTTCCTGAATACAAGCAGCATTCCTGAAGGCCTTTTCTGTTTGTATTTCTTTTATTCTGTTGCTTATGCTTTCCTAGGCTTATGCTTTCCTTTACAGTCTGAGGTTATTTAGTAAATAGACAAGTGTGATTCATGGTTTTGCTGTGACACAGATCTACTTTTCTGTATGTGAACAGATGTTTATGTATGTTTCAGGAAGAGCATATTTATTTTGTTCTGTATGGTTCTCCATTGTGGTGAGCTTAATTTCTTAATAATGCCCTTAGATGTGATGAGTTCTTTGACTTACTAATATGGGTCATTTTCAATTTAAGATAATACAGACTCCCAGCTACAACTTAACTTTTAAGATTTACAGCAGCTGTTTTCCATTTCTGCATCTATCCGTAATTTGCTTTTCATTAGAAAAACACTTTTAATAAGGTTCTGTATTCATCTTAAAAAAAAAAAGGAAATCAATGATAAATTTTCCATACACAGTCACATAATGACTTTTGAAATGTGGCATTGAAGTGGAAGTCATGTGTATGGGAAGTAAAATGCAGATACTCTACTGGCTTTTCCACAAGCTTGTTGATGAATTCAGACGCAACTGCCTATAATATTATGTGCCTCTGAGGTGGGCCAACCTTAATAGTCGAGTTGTTAACACTGTTTTTAAGATTAATATCTTAATATCCATGCAGTAATAGATCTGTAATTTGTAACCAAACACCTTCATAGCCAATCTGTCTCCAGTGATACATTGTCAGACCACCGTTTCTGCCCTTACCTATGTTTTTGATTAATTCATCTATAAACCCTACAGAAAGACTGTTTAAATTGCTTGCTTTTGAATTTCTTAATTCCTTAACTTTCTTAACTCGTTAACTTCTAGTCTCATTCTTTCAATATCCTTTACAAAATTCAAACATTCAGCTGTTGGGGGGGGGGTTTTAATAAGGTTCTGTATTCATCTTAAAAAAGATGTTACAGTTTCAGGCCAGTATTAAGATAAAGTATCTGGATTAGAAACCAAGCCTGATTCACTATTATCTTGGGAAAGTCTGCAGGAAGACATTAGCAGGAAGACATTAGCTTTAGTATATATTTGAAGATCATGAAAGGTAGGGCTCTGACAGTGCAGGATGTAGTATTTTTTACTAAAGACTTTTAATTACTTAGTATATTTTACTAAAGACATTATAGCATGTGTAAATGCTGGGACTATTTGGTGAAGTGAACACAGCCCAACTGCAGATAGTTTAATAGTGTGAAGGGCCTCCTCGGTGGGACTCTAGCTGTGTAAGATTTCAGTTAAATTTAAAAAAAACCCTACAAAATCCAGAAATAGAGGAGGGATGTATTTAAACTTCTGACTGGAAGAGTTTGTTCTTTACACAGGATACTATTAAACTACTAAGCATCTGCCCTCTGTATTAGATGGAGGAGGTTAAACACATACAGGGAATGTGTTAAAATAACCATTTGGGAAGTTGCAAATCAACATACAGAAGCATATCATCACTAGTTTAATAAATTACTGGGGCTTCTATCCTCAAAGCATTAATGTATTTTTCTCTCCTAATTTTATCTTAATGATGGATTACTTAGAAATGATCTTCAAAGAAGTAAAGGCATATTTGCACCATTTTCTTTATAATGGATAAGAAGAAAATATAGTTTTAGTCTTTTAAATACACATTTGAAATTAAGCTCTTATCTATACTGTAAAACTTGAAGGCTATCTAGAAAACAAATCCAATTATGGCTTAAGCACTTGAGAAAGTAAAATCTGATTTAATTACTTCTTTCAAAAGAAAATTACCTCTTTCAAATTTTTATTATTAAAACTCTACAGTTATTTTTATCACTATAAAAAGGAACAAACTTGGAAGAGAAGCTCTCTTCATGGAGTTCACACTCTAGTCTTTGTTACTTCATACTCAAGCTGAAAATTTGAGTCCTTATACAAACTTCTGATTGTCTAGAAAATAAGCCAGAAAAAATGCTTTATGATATATAGTACTTGTTTTCTTAGATATGGGATTAGAAAAAATTAATTCAAGCATTAGAAAGAGCAAAAAGGGGCATGATTTTTTAAAAATTTCTTTATAAACTCATCATTATTGCTGAATATGCATAAAAATAACAGCAGAAATATTGTGCTTTCTCTTGCTGTAGGAAAGGCTTTACCCAATACAATGCAGTAAAAATATGCTGTTATGATATAAAAAAAAAAGTTGGAAGTGATGAAGTCACATTTCCATTTCATTTATGAGTTTAGGGCTGGTTTAGGAGTGAATGTAGCTTTACATGTAGCTTTGCATTTGCAAGAAAACTACATGCAGGGGCATTGCCCTTGCTGCTGCTGCTCAGATGAGATCTACAGCCTCTGTGACCAGTCCTCAAGTGAAAGGGCTGACGGACAGATAAGGGCTGAGACATGAGATTGTACCCTGTGCAAATAAGATTCAGGTATTTGCTCAAATCCCATTTGCCTCCTTGAAACGGCAGTACTTTGCATGTGTAGATTTGGCTTAGTCTCTGGATATAAAATAAAGTATGATAACCAGTTACCTTAAGTGTCCATTTCTCAGGAAATTAGACTGTAGTCTTAAAAACTTCATACATCTATACTAAAACCTGAGACTGGCAGATACTCATTTTACAGAAAAAATTTGAAGACATTTTCAAATTTAGTCATCTATCACCCTAATGGAATAAACAGTGACAATTAATTTCTTGCTGGGCAGAATTGTAAGAGAGGCCAGGGAAGAATGCATGAGAATGGTACGAGAAAATGGATGTATTTTTTATTAAATTGAGATAACATTTTAAAATGTTTATGTGGAGCCCACTCAAAGATCTCTGTAGATAAGTGAAATGAAAATATGTTCTAATATGTTCTGCTCTCTCCTTAAAAGTCTATCAAATATATAATGCTGGTCCAATCAAGTATCACCCAATTAATCCCACTGGTGTTGATGGAATATTGTGAAGACATTTGTGAAGACTAATGGCACATAGGGTAAAGTGCCATTTTTCTAATGTCTAAACAATTAGAAATGTTACTTAAAAATCTATTACACCTTCATCAGACACTGACTTCTTTTGGCCAATGGTATTTAAGATATCTTAGTCTTAATAGAAAAATTGGATGGATAGGAGGACCAAGCAAATGGAAGTTTAACGGTGACAAAAGGAAGTAAGCTGAAACAGTGGAAAGGAAGAGAGACAAAATATTTGTATGAAGAAACTTGTTGTGAAACATTCAGTAGAGGGTTTTGTCGCCAGGTAGGATCTAACACACATTTCTATTGGCATGCATCATATAGATAAGCTTTGAGAAGTGAGACTTCTTTACACATATGTTGTGGTTATGCCCAGGAATCCAAATATTCTTGGATTACTTCAAATATTATTACAAAATAATAGTAATTTTGTCAGATAAGCATTTTCTTCAAATTTGCTCTTGAACATTTATCTAAATTAAATAATTTTGTGTGAGCTTAAAAAATATATTTTTATCAGGCCTTGCTGCTGCTGCTCACTGCCTGAATCAGAAAATACATGATAGACAACACCAGGAGAACTGCTTTTCAGGGAAGTGTCTCCTGAGGAAGGACTGCTAGAAAAGAGGGCTAGATACTTAAAAATGTGAATTCTATTTCTGACTTGGAGAACAAAAGTCCCCAGGTTAAATAAGTGAGTTTCTAGCCACATACTTTGAATTTTAATCAATAATGCTGAAGGCTTTTCCTGCTTAAAATACTTCTTTAGGTATAATAAAGTAGGTAATTATCACATTAAAGAAGAGTTAATTATTATTTCTTTTAAAGGTATTATAAATACAACTTTGTGCAATTCATGTATATTCCAAAAGTACTGGCATTTTTTTGTTGGTGATTCGAAGTATGTGCAAAAATGATAGATGGGGTAACATTAACAAAAGGATGTCAACTCACTTAGCAGTCTAATGGAGAAAATGGGGTCACTCGTTTCTGTTGTTGCTGTCACTCATGGGTTTTTGAAGTTAATCTCTGTATGACTCATCAATCTTTTAAAGCATAGAATGCTATTTCAGCCAAATCATAAAGGCAATATGATGCTTTATTAGTGTTTGAACCATAAAAGGCCTGCCACTATTTTGTTGAGATGTGCGTGGTAAATCTAAAATTATTTAATTGTAGAGCAAAGCAAGATGTGTGTTACATAGGTTTATGGTTATAATTATTTTTACCAGTAATTTTATAACTGTCTCCTTTGCTTGTGCTCCATGCATAGGGAGTTGGCCTCTCCGTCCATGGACGTTTCCGAGTTGCTACAGAAAAGACACTTTTTGCAATGCCAGAAACAGCAATAGGTAAGTATTTTAACAGATTATCACGTGTTAACCTGTTTAAAGATTCACTGTTTGTGTAATCAGGATGCAATGCCTTTGACTGAAACCAGTAGTGGTAATGAAAAATTTTAAAAAGGAATCAGACATGACCATATATGAAAGTATTTTCTACTAAATTAATAGAAACTTATCTGTATTCTGAGAGGTTGATCATTGAGGTTCTTAACTTGGAGGTCACTGCCGAGACTGACACAAAGACTATCAGGATACAAGTTTTTAAAAACGGAGGTAGATGTGAGGAACTAAGTCTTTGCTACAGATGTAGGCAGATAAAGTCTGGAGATCCCAGTGCCAGTACGTCAACCAGCTTTATATTTGGAACTCGGTATGAGTCAAACTGCCTGTACTACAAGCTGATCTGCAATGTTAATGTGACAGATGTTGAAATTCCAGCTTTTCTTGTAGACTATTAATGTAGACCCATTACAGTTGTGTATAGATTGTGTGCAGGTGAGATCACAGTGTCATCTTTTATTTTTTAAATAGCAACATGTATCTTGTGTTTCCTAATGTTTGATCCTACAGCTGCTTTGTCAATTCTCAGATGTACAAAAGAAAATTTTATGTCTCTAGAAAAGTCAGTCAGATTAAAGTGAATGCTCCTGTGAAATCATTCACATTTCCCTTAGAGATGATAATCCTGGCACTGACACCCACATTGAATCTATTATTGTCTGGCACATATACCCCATTAATGCGTTCCTCACTGTCCAAGTCCATTCTCCCTACTTATCAACAATGTTTATGAAGAATGCTCCAACCCTATAACCTATCCTGCATTTCTCTCCTGCAAAATGTCTAGTTTCTACATCTTTCCAAGGCAAGGCAGCTGAAGGATGATTGCAGTTGTTCTTATCTTTATGTCCTCAACAGAACAATAAGGCTAGTCTGTAATATGTGGCCCTGTTGAACACATTTATTCAGAAACAAGAACCTTATCTGGTGGTTAAACAGCTTGAATGGCACCAGACATGATGCTGTTAGCCTCAATCTTAGTTTCACCTGGAAGAATTAGTAGTAAGGAGTAGTGAGCATTATTTTCTTAAAAGAACTTCCAAACTGTTATGTAATGTTAAAACTAAGGAATAATGAAAAAAAAAAAAATCAGGACCCAGTTCTGAAAAAAAGAATAGAAGTTATAATAATCTGCTTTTGTTGAGAATGTTTTAAATATAATAATGTCATTACAGGTAAAGTAAAAATGCATGCTTAGCTAGTGATTGGATTTATATAGTGTCCCCTGTTAGTAATGCTTAAAAGGTCTAGCATTTTTCATTTTTTTTAAAGGGTGTCTTACACATGTTATCTATTGTTTATTGCTATCCAACCTGTATGAAACATTTCACAAGACTTCTTAAATTCTTAAAATATTAAATGAGCTGTGAGCATCAAGCCAAGAAAACCATAGTAAACCCCCAAATACAAGTGAGCTTATTATAATTTTAACTCCTGAAAAAATTATTAGAGCAATTCCCTGCTAGCTGATGAATATCATGTAATTTTTCAGAATGAGTAAGTTTGTGATGAGAAAAGTAAAAACAGTTGCAACCTTCCAAATATTTTCTCTGCTGAAGGATAACTTAGTAGACTAAACAGCTCAAGTGTTAATACAACATGAATTTGTTAAAATTCCTGAAGTTCATAATCAGCTGTTGTACAAGGAAACCATTTGAAGCAAACAATTTTTTAAAAAAAACCTTAACTGAGAGGTTCTTTGGCATATAAAATTATTCCAACAATAAAGATAACTTCTTTCATCTTCAAAGGTAAAGATATGAGTAGTCTTATGTTAACAAAGATGATATACTTTACACATCTATTTCCTATGTTTACAAGGACGTATCTAAACAAATACAGACTGTGAAGACATGTAAAGAAAAAGCTTAGAACTTGCTTAGGAAAGAAAGTAATTAAAACCCTTTTAGGATCAATTAGAAGTAAAACCACTAAATCTGTTTGGATTGAAGGGCTTAGCTGTTTTGATCTCTGTGGTGTACATTTAAAATGTCTAGCTGTCTAGATACTGTATTAATTGATTTTTTCATATGTTTGCTTATTTCAGTAGGCATTGCACCTTTTCTGGGAAATGAAAACAAAGCGTTCATTCAGCTGCTACATTTTCACACAATTATTCTGCTCTTACACACCATCATAAATAAAAGGATATAGATAGATAAATATGCCACTTTACAAATAAAAATAAAAGGCCATTCTAGAATGTAGGAGTTTCAAGCTGACATAGATAAAGCACTGGAAAGCAGGTTAGGTGTAGGAGGGTGTGGAAAAACCACTGATGGGAGGAACAAAAGGTGAAATCATGTTGTAAGAAGTGGGCTTTAAGGTGACATTATAATAATAGTGGACGCTTTCTTGTATATCCCTCTAAGATTTTAGCTTTCTATAAGTCATTTACCAATAACTCTAACCACCTCTGCAAGATAAGGTAGAAATGTAGTAGTGGTGCCTTTATCTTATGCTTGGCAACTGCAGAGACTTTCACAGTGAAGCGTGTTGTGTCTGTTTCAGAGTGCAGACTGCAAGTCAGCATTGCAGGCGTAGGCTTTTAGCCTGGTCAGCCCAGCAGACATTCAGTTCTTCTCTTATTTAAGTAGGAATTTGAGAAATAATCGGTAAACACTATCAAAAGGGAAAAAAATTAAAATCAAGTATATGGAATATGTTAAGAGAAACCCAGTAGCAAGCATAAAGATATGCTTGCATATGGGAAGCATTATTGAGAGAATTAAGAGGAATACGTAGAACAGGGACAAGAGGAGTAAAATTATAAGAAAGGAAGACAGGGACCTTGAAAAGCATGCAGTAGAAACTATACAGACTACATTTATGCAACCAAGTAAGTTTAAAGTGGATTAGTTGCACCTTCACTAACCCTGTTTGTGAATTCCTTAATAATTAAAGAAACCTTCATTCTATTTAGTTTTATTCACCTCTAAAGCAACTTATGCTAACCGACTTCACAGTTCATTTATAATTAATTTCTCTGTGTATGGCCTGTGGAAGGCTCTACAGATTCCAACATGAAGATGGCTTTTCCTCTGGAAACTTAGTGGAGCATGGGGAGAAAAGTACTTCAGCATCAGTGTTTTAATCACAGCAAAGAGGAAAAGGTTGTTGCAGTTAGAGTCCTGGTGGATGGGGAGAATAATGTAATTGCCTTTTTTCCTTTGGAGGGCATTTGTAAGAGAAGTTTCATTTTAAAATGAGGGAATTTTTTACAGTAGTAGGAAATCCAAGAGGAGACAGATGAATAGAAATATAAAACTAAATGACAGTCTTGGCATCAATTTATGATGGCTCAAACTGAGAAGGTAAAATGCAGAGTAGACTTTTCAGAAAGTGAGTACAGATGAAAAAGAAGAAAAGTGATGAATTGGGATTACTACATTTTAGGGATTTTAAAGGGTACCAACAAGACATTCAGCATTTCAGGAGAAGAGCTGTATGTCTCAGTAGCCTGCCCCCATGGCAGAGGGACTGGAACTAGATTATCTTTAAGGTTCCTTCCAACCCAAACCATTCTGTGATCTTTCAGCGATTACTGAGAAGAGAAAAACACTGAAGAGAAGCTGTCTGAAAGAAACCTCCCCTTGATTCCATCTAAGGGGAAGGAATATTCAGGGACCACCAATTTCCCACATCTTAAAATACTCCTAGTAGAGTCTTTCTATAACACATACATTGACTCTTTTGTGACTGAAAGCAATTACTTATGAGTGAAAAATTACCACCTTCTATCAAAACACCATTTAAACTCTTTATGTACATCTTAAACTTCCCAGTTAATCTCTCTGCTTTGGCAAGTGTTTTCTGAATTTCTTATTGCTCATTTGTATTCTTTTAAATTTATTTTCATATTTCATTTATCCTTTCAAAGTAAAAAAATGAAAACACCCCCCCCAACAAACCCACCCAAAACAAACAAAAAACCCCCAACCAACCACAGCATACCTTCAGTTTCTTCAAAAAACTTGCAGTTTCATGAGTGCACCATTGGTGTTTATTTCAAAGTAGTAACTGCACACTCTGCTTCTTTCCATTTTTATTTTGGAGATCAATACAGCTAAGCTTAAGTTTTATTAAGTTTAAGTATGTTAAAAGTTACAAAAAGTGCTTGAATTTATTTTTCGGGTGATTAATGTGTGTAAGAGAATAAGGTATATATTATCAAAGTGATTTTAAGTATTTAAACTTTTATCAAAGTAGCTATATATGTTTCAATTACAAACATTTTAAGACTTTTAAAAGTCTTTTACATTTTATTCACAGCTTCAAATTTTTTTAATTACCCTATTCTGTAGACTAGATTAAAAAAAATAGTCATTAAAGTAGAAAATTTTAGAATTTTTTTTTAATTGCAGGTTAGTCATAGACCTGTTAAAGAGCCAGGTATTAGGTCAAGATCTTGTGCCTGCACCTTCAGGAAGAACCTGGACATACTCTTGATCTGTTAATATAGTCTCAGCCCAAAAATTTGTTCAAACTTAGCTGTGCAGGCTGCACTCCATCATTGTTTGATACTTTTATCATAACAAAAGATTTCAGAGAAAAAGCAGCATCCAGTTTGCGTTTGCACAAATTATTTCACAATTCTTTGCATCACTTCTGGATTTTGTTGAGAGTACCCTTGCTTCTTCAGGCATATAAAAACGTCTGCAGTTGTTGGCAAACAGAATGAACACTATTCTCAGGTATTTGTTTGTAAATTATGTGCCATCGGAAAGGATACAATTTGGAAGGTGTTCGAGCTTTTGCTTTTAGGAAGGATTTTGATGACAGAGAAATCAAGTCAAGGAGAAATTTGGGCAAGATAGCCCTGCTTAAGTCAGGGAGATGAAAGTGAGACAAGAAGAAATAGCTGCTAAGTTACATGCATGATTAGAACAAGTTCTTCTCCCTCCACATTTTTTTTTCTTTGTTTATTACAGGCCTTTTTCCGGACGTAGGAGGAGGATATTTCTTGCCAAGGCTATCAGGAAAGATTGGCTATTACCTAGCACTAACAGGATTTAGGCTGAAAGGAAGAGATGTGCTAAAAGCTGGCATCGCTACACATTTTGTAGACTCTGAAAAGGTAAGCTGCTAACCAGTGCTAGCAAGGGCGCAGCCTACAACCGTAATGACAAGTTTGAGTTGCGTAGCACACCACTGTATTTTTACCAAGTTGAGTGTGTGCAGAGGCGCAATTGTATTAGCTGGCCGTGCACTGTGAATGGGGACCATAAGATACTCTCAAGCTGTCATTATAACACTTGCCAGCTAGTGACAGCTTTGCTTGAAAAAGGGAGCAAATGTTGCTGTCTCCATGATTCTACTGTTGAAGGGCATGACTGAGCGTAATTGAAGCTGCTTGAAAAATTGTACAATTTAGACAACACTATCTGAAAAATAGAGATTATTTCTACAACTGCAAAGTTTTTAATCTAGGTAACAACCCATTAATGTGTTCTTCATCAGCCTCCTTAACAGATATCCTATTTTTTTTTCACAGTAGCTGTAAGGAAGTGTAAAAATTGGTATATTCAATAAAGTCAGAGTCATAATGTTCCAGTAACTTGCATAGACATAAGTGAAGGAGAAACAGTGACTTGCTTTCCCTCTCTGTCTAAAGACCCATGACTGTGATTGTGTCTGCACCACTGGAGCTGGTTAGACGCTATTTTGAGCATTGCATGCTTGCCAGACACCTGCTCTTTCCTCCTGGAGTGTTCTAGGCTGGCTTTACCTGCTGCAGCTGTAGCGCTGCACCAGAGGGCAGCTTGGGAAGCAGAGTTCTTTGCTGATCACTGCAGACATAATTAAATCCAGATGGTTCAACACTGAAATGTGAACTCTGGCTCCTTGTTTTGTTTACTTGCTACCTCTAAGATCTGCCCAAAAGTTGGGGTGGTGGTGTTTATGTACATATATATTATATAGTACTATTACCATAGCAGTAATAATTCAAGTAGTACATTTTGGTTTACTTAATTTTAATTAAATCTTATTTTTAATAGCTACCTGCCTTAGAGAAAGACCTGATAGCGCTGAAATCTCCTTCAACAGAAAATATTGCAGATTTACTGAACTCTTACCATGTGAAGGTAAACTCATTAGTTACTGAAATCAAGCAGAACTGTTAAATATATGTAAATACAAATTATTTTTTTATCCATGCTACTGTAATTTCATTTATGGTTAAAAAATAATGGGTTTCCGAACTCTTTGCACTCTATAAAATACTAATTTGTAGACTAATGCCTACAGTGGTCAAACATTAAAATTTAAAAGTCTTTCTTCACTTTTTATTCATTTTGGATAGCCCTCAAATTCCCATTGTGATCAGCTTTCTGTCTTTCTGTGTGTGTATGTAAGTTTCCAGCCATTACCACAATGATGCAGAAAATACGTTGCTGCTTGATTTTCCCCCTGTTATTCCTGGATTTCAAGCATACTTTGCAGAAGGCAAAGTAGATAGCCACTAGCAGACTGAGAGTTGTATATGAGGGCAAGTGCAGTCTGGGGAGTTAGCCCGAAATTCAGGGATTCTGACGAAAACAAACAACAGGGGTAGAACTACTGGCCTAGTCCAGAGGCTGCAGAAGTTATAGTGCCAGTTGTTAAATGTTATGCAGCTCACTTGGAAGTGGATGTTGTATTTCCATCCCCGAAACGTCCTCCTTATCGACTGGAGGAATTATTTTACTAGCTTGATGCTTTTGATGTAAATTTTAGCATTATTTTGGTGCAGATCATCAGCAGTCTACATTTGAAGCCTGAATTTAAAGCCTCAGGTTGTTCCCTTAATTTCTCAAGTACTTTATGTTTGTAACCTTGAAATAATTGGAAGGCTGTGAATAAGCACAACAGGATAAGTATTAGCAGAGTGCAGGTATGTCATAGGGAAAGCATCTGCGGTCTTAAAGCAGTATTTTCAGGGGGAGAAAGGTGCTGTTTTCCCAGTGGACAAACCCATAGTTTTCTGTTTTGATTTTGGAGGTGAATGTAACTGTTTCGATAATACATAATTAGCATTAGCCCCATGTAACTGTGGGCATGAAAATCAAAGGTTTTGGCTTCACAATCAGTTTATTCAGTGGCTATTTTAGCTATTTTGATGTGCATTGTAATTTTATTTCAAAAGAAAGGAAACTTCTGGAATCAAATTGGGATTCACTGTATTCAGTCAATCCGAGTATTACTCCCCAGTTGTTTGGCTTTAACATGAGTAGTGTCTACTCTTGTTATTTCTGTTTTGGAATTACTAAGTTCATATATAAAGATTAATTAGAAATATAAATTAGATAAGCTAATTTACATAGTAGTACTGATTATTTTGACAAAATAGAAAGCTATGAAATAGGAGTGATTATATGTTGCAGTATACTGCTTTACAAGATGACACTGAAAAGGAAGCTGTGTATTTTTAGTTATCAGAGCTGATATGACAGGGAACCCTTCTCACCTTCAGCTGCTGTTACTGAAACTTCCTCATATGTCCTAAGTCCCCTAATGCCAGATGATCTGGAACATTTGACAGCCCTTCCACACAAGGCCCACAGATCTTTCACACTCTTTAGTCATCTAAATAAAATTTTGTGAAATGACAGAGAAGAAATAAGGAAGAGAAAGTATTTATTTTTTAAAATACATATATACATGCCTGTATATATTTTAAGAAAAAAAATCAAACTTTTTGGAAAACATTCTTCAGGGTTTTGAGTAGATATATCTACACTGGCCTTGTCAGTGTATCGGATAGAAATGTATTGATAGAATAATCATGATTACTTGTGTACAAGATACCCACCCAGTCAACTACGCATACATAGTAGCTCAGAGCAAGCACTTGATTACGAGGTGACATCTTTAACATTCACAAGATACAGTGACATGTTCATTTACACATACTGCAAAACTGTAATTCATTAAAAATGTCAGTGTCTTATGAATATAAAATATTCTTTTATGATATTTCTGTAACACAATCACTGATTTTTTTCAGTACTAATAAGCTTGTCAGTCAAAAATAACCAAATAAAATACGTATTTGCTTTTTAAATAGAGCAAAGTTGATCAAGAAAAGTTTGTACTTGATGAACATATGGAGAAGATTAACAGGTATTGAGCAATCTTTCTTTTTTTATTCTTTTGGATAGAGAACATGAAATTAAATCCAGAAACAGTATCAGTGTTCCACAGATAAGGTGATAGAAATTACATGCAAGTTAGTAATTTAAACTTTTTTGTCTTTAGGGAGCTTTATCTGAAGCTCATTAAATATTAGACTTGTCAGTATATTAAACACTTGAGCATATTTTCCTGATTCATACACCACTCTATTAAGCAACTACCCTATGGCATGTTAAAATAAACATTTTCTATAGAAATTGGATGGGTATTTGTGAGAGTAAGTGTTCAGTTGGACAGGAAGCACCATGTAGCGCATTTATACTCATTGGTATAAGGCCATTTCTATGATTGTTTGGAACTTGTGTGTATCAGAAAGGGAAGGAGAAATAAGTGAGAGTGTTAAGAAGCAGCTAAAAATCTTGGAAAAAGGATGGCAGTAACTAAATTTAGAGATGAAAGATGGTGACAACAAACCTGTAGAATGGAGCCAATAGCTGAAGATTTGATGTGTTATAAAAATACAGGTAAGACTGATGGTAGTAATTAAAGTTTCTGGATAAATATCAGAGTTTGTAAGTGAGGTTTAATGAAATGCTAGAGATTTGTAAAGGAAGAGGAGATGCCTGTCAACTGAGTTACTAACACACTGCTAAGAAAAGCAAAATCACCTGGTTACACTCTGTTCCTGATTTCTGTTACTAGCACTTCATAGGGAAGAAGGCTGAAGCAGTTCATTTATTAATTTTTTTTTTTTCTTCTAGTCTTTTTTCAGCAAATAGTATGGAAGAAATTGTTAAAAAATTAAAGCAAGATGGTTCTCCTTTTGCTGTTAAGCAGCTAGAGGTAATGTCTTCTGTGTTATCTTTGTTAGAGATTTTAAGTCTGGTTCTATACTTTCTTATTACGGGGCAGACTTTAGTCACCTTCTTAACATAACTAATACTACGTGACATCAGTAGGACACTGGACTGAGATCCTCAGGTTCTCACATATAATCCTCTAGAATTGTCAGGAGTTCTGCACAGACAAGAATATTCCTCTGTAAAACCATACAATGTGAATACCATATGTTGCATAAAATCGTAATCTAGTAAAAAAAACCAAAACAAACCCAACAAACTCCCTTTTCCCTTCCCCACGAGCAGGGGTTTGTTGATGACAAAGGTCCTTTTATAGCTTCTCATTTTATTGCCAAGGGTTGGAATAAAACAGTGCCAGAACAGTGTTGTTCATTTTCTTCCATTCCAGCTATCTCATTTGGGTAAATAGCAAGCAATTTATCATCACCAAGTTTGGTTTTGATCTTTTTAATGTATTTCTGAGTGTTGGATGTAGTCACTACTCAAAAAAAATGTGCAGTAATACTACACAATTAATACATACTTAAGCCTCAAAAGCAAGAAGCAGCTTATGATTTTAACTGTGGGTTTTTTTTAATTCCTGAACAAAGAAAAATGGCCCTTTTGTTGCTTCTATGGTTTTCCTATTTCATGTCTTTAATAGCACTTTATAGCAACTTTTTTTCTTTCATATGATTTGTAAATGAATGACTGTCCTTGGAGTTGACAGATGTTCCTGAACAATTGTCTGTTCTGTTTGAGATATGAGACTGCATTAATAAGAGTTGCTTCTGTCCATACAAAAATTTGTGGAAAAAAAACCTCAGAAAACATACCCTACATTTTCTAGCAGGTGCAAAGCTTTTTAGTGTGAGCAAGTACATAAGTTTCAGACAAGTTTCTAACAGCACACATTCGGTGCTAAGCAGTAGGATTAAGTAAGCTTGTAGGATCAGGTATTTAATTTCTTCTCTGAAAGATCCACAAAACTGAACAAGGGAAGTGCATGGGGGGGGGGCGCGGGGAGGGGAGTTAAAAAAGGATTCAGGTATAAATCTGACTTTCTCTAGGAAATGCTTGCCAGTTAAACTGGGGATTTTCTTTTACTAGGGAAGCAGAATTGTAATTAAACTTAATTGTAGCTGGAGGAAGAATGGTAACTTGCACCCCAGCAGTTCAGCATTTTACACCACCTACAGATGGAGCACTGGTTTGCTGTCTCATCGCTCGGAGGAGCGGAGTTCAAAGAACTGGTTAGAGTAGGGAATATGTAGCAAAACTATGACTGTCTGAGATTATCACACATTATCCTTGATAGCAGTTTGCTGATTTGTGTGAACTAAGTCATTTTTCTCATCAGTAGTATCACAGTACCGAGAATATGTCCATAGATTGTAGTTTCCTGCCACTTTGTGAAACCAAGGTTTCACTTTAGTGTCCAGGTACAGGAACAACAGAACATTCAAATGATAAATATAGAGACTGTAAAGGATTCAGTAACAGCAATGTGTATGCTTATTTTCTTTGTTTCCCTGTATATTTATTATATATTTGTAAACTTACAGAATAAGCCCTAACTGAAAGTCTACTACAAATACCCTGATTTGGAGGTAACACCTTGGTACATCCACACCTTGGATGTACAGATCCCTTTCACTGTTAATAAAATGGAACTGCTATAATCCATGCTATCCTAGGTATCCTGTTCAGTTCAGTATACGGTACTTCTGCTTTTTTACTCTGAACGCACGCCTGCTTGGCAGGCTTTTCCATACTTGATACTAATGTGGTTTGCATGAATAAGAAAATGTAAAGTTGTTGAAATTCTATTTAAGATTGGCTTCATGATTTAAGTCACATTTTGAACCCAGTTACAAATAGAAAGCTAGAGTACTAACACACTTTTTGAACTCATAGTAAGATATTTTAAAAAAACTTTATAGTATTGCTTTGTTTTCAGGATTTACACAAGCAAAAAAGCTTTAATCTGAGTGACAGAAGTACCACTTCTAATTGGATGAAGTAAGCACGTGGGGTCAAAACATGAAAAGCATCAGATCATAGAATTATAGAATGGTTTGGGTTGGAAAGGACCTTTAAAGTCCATCTAGTCCATCCTTCCTGCAATGAGCAGGTTCATCTTCAACTAGAGCAGGTTGCTCAGAGCCCCATCCAACCTGACCTTGAACAGTTCCAGGGATGGGGCATGTACCGCCTCTTTGGGCGACCTGTTCCAGTGTTTCACCACCCTCATTGTAAAAGATGTCTCCTTATATCTAGTCTGAGTCTACCCTCTTTTAGTTTAAAACCATTACCCCTTGTCCTACTGCTAAAGGCCCTACTAAAAAATTTGTCCCCGTTTTTCTTATAAACCCCCTTTAAGTATTGAAAGGCCTTGTTTTTTACATGATGCTTTCTTACAGCTTTTTTTGGCAGGACATTGCACCTTCTGAGCACTGATACTTCATCATTTAATAGCCTTCATCGTTACTGAATGAATGCCAGTGTAGTGTGCAGGACACTGCAGAGAGTAAGAATTACAAGACACCTTGCCCGGATCTACTGGTCAGGCTGGGATGCAGACACTAGCTCCTGAAACTGTAAATGGGTATGCAGCGAGTGGGTGAGAGAGATCACAAGAACGAAGCTGGGTAGTAGCTTGGTAGGGTTGAATTCAAGTAAAGAAGCATTCTGAAACTCTGTTAACAGACCAGTAAGAGAGTAATATATCTGTCCTTAAGCAGCTTTCCTGTGATCCTTTGGCTAGATTTTATTTTGTCAAAGCTCGTCTAGAACCATTGTTTGGTGTGGACAAATAAATGCTTTGGTATCTGAGAAAGTAAGTGATGGTGTCTGCATCTATTGCAAGAGAAGTGATACACTGGACCTCTGGACAGTTTGTTTGTTTGTTTTTACTTAAAGCCTCCCTGAAGGACCCTCAACAGCTCAGGGCCTTGGAAGCAAAAGATACAGACACTATTCCAGCTGTTCCTCTTGTAAGGAACTCCACTGAGTCAGTGCCACATGATTCAGTCACCTTCTGATAGTATCTTATTGGAATTCAGGTCTATTGCAAATTCAGCTTGTAGCTTTCAGGATCATTATGTTGAAGTCAAGATGGTCTCAAAGATACTGGAATAGATGTCAAATATTTCTTGCATTTGAATAGATGTCAAAGACTTCTTTGCATTTTAGTACTCCCCACTTCAGCCTATCCTGTCTCCTTTTCAGGCTTGTTCCCTAGCACCGATCCCCTCCTCCTCTTTGTACAGAGAATTTATTTATAGATACACTGATGACTCATTTTTCTGCAATTACACCTACCCATTTTCTTTCCTTGTTCCTCTTCCTTCAGCTTGATTTATGGTAGTGCCTCCTCCACCTTCAACCTCATTGATATGCCAAGATAAGGCAGCTGCTGGATGCACTAGACTAGTTAAGTGCTGATTTCAGATCTTCCCCATTTCAATGCTTGCTTTGACCAGAAAAAACTTGCCATTACCATTTCACCTATGAAGCCATCCGGTTGCACTGTGCATACCATTGAACTGGTCTGAGCAAAGACTTTCTAATCTAGGTAACAGAAAGTGAAACTCAAAGGAGAAAAAAATCCAGTTCAAAGGTAAAGCCAACAAGAGCACATTACAGGGAAATAAGGGGTCCAGTTAAGAGTTGCTATCCATCCCAGACCTACATAGTGATGTACTTAGAGGTATAGCTGGTTTCTTTATTTGCTGAAAGGCAGCTCATTGTTAGAGAGCTTTACCAGAACTCAGGAAATGGTGACAGTTTGAGCCAGCATTAGTTCTTTCTAAACCGGCTTCTCACTCAAGCAAAGAGGTCAACATGGAAATAACAGAATGACAGAGACAGTGCTTTTGAGGTACAATTGCGCGGCCTCCTGCTTGTATAGCAATTGCATGTTTTCCAGCTTAACTAGGCAAAATGGGTCACTGCTATATCAGCTGGTGTCTGGAGAGGGATGAAGAGTAATTGGGAGCCAGAAAAAATGTTGATGTTGATGACTGGAAACCTGCCATTTCAGTCTGTGGGTACAGAGTCTAATGTCTGCAATGAAAATAATGTAAAGAGACAAATCTTACCATCTGCCGCTTTTTAGTAGTGGTAAAAATGTCCTAATTAACAGGAAATGTTTGTTGTACTGTGAATAATACAGAGCTTTTTGTTGGGTTTACAGGGGAAGAAGAGTCTTGTTTAGAGTAAGAAAACAAAGATCAGCAACAATAAGATTTAGCTCTTTTTCCCCACAAGCATAAAAGCTTTAAAGCTCAGTTCTGTTTTCTTAACTAGGTTTTGTCTTTCTCCCCACCTCCCCCTACTGTTTACTGGCATGCTGTTAATTGAAGGATAGTCATGGGAGCCAGATTTACAGCATTTGTTTGTGTGCCTTAACAGATCCTGTCTGTTGTATAATATTTATAGCCTGTAGCTCTGTCAAAAGAAGGAAGGCAAGACCTCCAGGCTTCCTATCAGCAGAGCAACATAGGGCTAAATTACTGCAGTATCTGTGGATCCCAGACAAGAAACCTGGACAAATAGGCATTTATGTTTGATTTCTTTTAATGTCTTTTTCTTTAACCATTTTCTTCTTTGTATATTGTCTAGTCTTTGCAGATGATCATAAAGCAACTACTTAAAGTTTGTGGCTAATCTCACTTTTACTACCTTACTACCTCTGACTATTGTACCAAATAAAACTTAAGTTCTGTACAACACTAATCAGCTACAATATTACTAACATCTAAGAACAATTCAGACAGTGTGTATGATATTCAAAAAAGGAGTATAATTGCTTGTAATACTCGCCTTCACTTCTCAAAAGAATCTGCTTGGAAATGGCTTTCAAGCTGCATTAGATTCTCTGGCTAGTAGTAATTTGATCATAAATTATGTGACCTTAGAGTTCTAGACTTTCCACAAGTGATGGCATACATCCCAGAGATCTTGCTGATAAAAGTTTATGCAAGTAAGTTCATTTAGTTTGACAGCATGGTGGGAGGGAGCAGGAGGAATAGGTATCACATAAGTGAGCTCAGGGAGAAGAGTGCCATCATTTACTTCACAAAGTTTAAAATGCAAAAAAAAAAAAAAAAAGACAGACTTGCAAATGTGTCTAAATTGAAGAGAATAAAAATAATTGTTAATGTCTTCCCCAGACTATTAATAAGATGTCACCTACGTCCTTAAAGATAACTCTCAGACAGCTCAGAGAAGGAGCTTCCATGAGCTTACAAGATGTGCTCACAATGGAATACAGACTGAGCCAAGCATGCATGGTAAGCAAGCAGCTGAGCCCTTTGTCCAGCCACAGAGGGGTAGCAAGTTTATCAGAGACTAAGTTCTATATGGATTACAGCAAGGGATCACTATTTATAGGTTTTAATTTTCAATATCTTCTTTGTGTGTTTGTCAGGCTGTCACTTTCTTTTTTCCTAGTTCTATGTCTTCATATGCAACTCAAAGGAGACTACATTAATGATGGTCAGATGGGAATGGTAGAGGGCTTTTGTTAAAAAGAAAAACCTATGATAATGTTGCAATATAGAAAGTTTTGTATTTGGACCATAATTTTAAAACTGGTGTTCTTGAACAGTTTTCCTGTTTAAATTACTTAGTCCTCAGTGCCTCAGTTCTTAGCAGCAGGATGGGAATAATTGTGTATCGCTGCCTTTCAGGGGTACTGTGATAAATTTAGTAAAGAAAAAAAAGAGAGATTTTACTACTATATGTAGTAAGGGCTGAGTACTTGGATAACATACAAGGAAGTGATCCTTTCAGTAGAATAGAGTTCTTGACCGAATTATCTGAACTAATTCCTCATAAAGCTTCTCCATGGCATCCTTATTGTTAGTTTTGTCACATTTTAAAATAAGATATTTATGTATCTGATTAAATGATTTGTGATAAAGTTCCTAAAAAAGAGCGAAAATATACCTAATTATGTACCTAATTCTGATAGGTTATAGTGCCCAACGGTATCCTTGCCACATCTTTCCTGAAACTGGTATTGTTGCTCCATTGCTAGTGAAGTATTCTTAGGGATTTAAATATAACATTTAAACTTTATTAAAAAATAACTGGAAGTTTCCAGGATTCCATTTAACTGCAAAGTGTTCCAAATATGCAGAATGTATCTGAAGACTAGCCTTTCTGGGAAGAATTTCTGATCCTACACACCTTAGCCCTCATCATACAAAACTCTTTAGAAAGGTAATTATGAGATGTAACACAGAGAGAGGGCTTGCACTGCATTAAAGTTGGCTATCAACTACAGTTCAACAGATTTTAGAGTTGTGGCTGTATTTAAGCAAGAGGATATAGAGCTCTGAAGAAGTAAAGAGATAGTACGACTAGAGGAGAACAGTACAAGTGGGATTTAACTGAATCTTAAGAACTTGCATTTC